CTATAAAGGGTGCAAAGCTTTCTTTTGCACCCTTTATAGTCCCACTCCTCCAGTTTCTCTGAATCTTCAGACTATTCTGGTGTTGACTACTTAGGAACAAGTAGATTCCCCACCCTCACCCCCAAATTTGTCAACTGCAGAGAAATAACATAGATGTATCTTGGGTTTATGTTTTTGTTGTAGCAGTTCAGGACATTTTATATTTGTTTGCCTGGCTAAGTTTTCTTGCCCTGAATTGGCAATGAAATGCTGTTTTGCTGGTAAATTCCCCAGTCTGGAAATTCGGGAAGTGAGAGAGGCCTGTCTTTCAAGAGTTCAGAAGGGAAGCTGTCAGGCAATGGGGGGGGGGGGAGGGGTTTCAACTTACAATGCAAAGTAGAACATTTTATCTTGTCTGTTATTCTCTGCTTAGCAACTAGTTATTATGTATACCTTTCTGCATTATTGGACTGAGGACCAATGGCTAATTTTATTGACAAGGCTATTGGACAGTATGTGTTACCCACTCACACAATTGAACAGCCAGTGCATGTTGAAGACGGAAGACTCCTACACTTTGACCCCATTACTGAGTGTAGTGCTCCTCTTCACTTCATCATTGATGAACATTGGACATTCTATTTTACATTTTCCTTGCGTTAGAGTCGCTGGGAGTTGGACAGTATATAAATTTAATAAATTAATTATGATCTCATTCTTGCAGAAGGACTGGCTACAGATCCATATTCCCGATAGTCACTAGGATTAGGAAACTGTCATTTGCTTCCCAGTATTATTAAGATCACCATTTGCAGGCACTCGAGACCTGTCCTCCCATTATCACTGGTCAACAAGTTATTCTTCCAGTTCTATCAGAAAATACTCTGACTTGGCTTGGATTCTAAAATGATTAATTCAGTTGTTGAGATTTCTGAAAAATTATCCCTTATCCTTACAACAAATCTTGTTTACAAAGTGGGGATACTTTTGGCTGAGTTAGCTATTAAGAGCCTGACATTTAGGGAAATTCTGAATGGTGTCTCTCAACTACTTGGTGCTGCCACAGGGTAAGTCCATGGCTGAACACCTACTTTATTTTATTTTTAGTCGGTTGAAAGAACGGTCTGTGCTGTCAGTAGACTATGTCTAGTAATAAAGTCAAGTGTATTTTGTTCTTTCAAAGATTTAAAATTAGAGGCCCCGTCTCTGTCCTGTATGAGCCGTTGGGCGGCTGAGCAAACAGCAACAGCCTATGGGGAGGGGGTATTGTCTGTCAGAGAGGAGGAAAGCTCTAGAAGTTGCTGACTATCTCAACCTGTAAATCCCACTCTAGGGAGTCATACCTGTCGGATAGATGAAGTGGAGTGATATTACTTACAGGAGAGGCTTACTTGTTTGTGACAACTTTCTGTTGTTTCAGAGGATTAGATGAAGACTGTATTGTAGAAGGTGTTCACTGTCTCTTCTTCTTTTTCCCCATGACAGCAATGCAAATGTACTTTCTGTAAAAAAAACTGAACCAATAGTAGCAGTAACAATAACTTAAAAAGTAAAACAGTAAAAGATGGTCATTAAGAAAAAAAATCAAGTGATCTAAAAACAAACAGTGGACTAAAATATAGGTAGAATAAAAAGCTTTTAGGAGGAGCTCATTATAAGAATTATAACCACATCTCCATCTTAAATCCCTCCTCTGAACATCTATTTTATTTGATCAGTGAGAGCTGTATAGCTGCTAATATCAATGTTGCTACAATTAATAATGCTATTTTTTGGTCTGATTGTCATATATTAAGCAGGCTTCCACACTCCTAGAGCAGAAGATATTCCTTATATCATTTGTTGCTTGTGTGCTGCAAAACATAATCTAGATTAGTAAAATGGTACCCTTAGTTGTCTTAATCAAGTAAGTGATATAATGTCTCAAATTTAGCGTCCAAATGCCCCAGTGTAAAAATATAATGCCACTTTCTGGGCCATCCCTAGCTCAGGAAATGTAGAAGAGGCAATTGCAATTGGGTATAAACTCCATCATCAGAAATTGACAGGAATGTCTCTGCATTTACTGCCTTCCCTAAAATAGGAACAATGAAATAAGTGTATCTGCTATACAGGTTGGATTGGATATTCTCAAATCCTGTTTATGGCAGCAGCCACTCAACCCACGTGTCCTTTCATAAATTCCTTGTAGAAAACCATAACCCTAAGTTTCTGTTGAAAGGTTTACTTCATGTAATTGAAACCAGATGCTTAAGGTGAATTTAAGAGCATGCAGAAATCCTTTTAACCTGGCTTGGCAGGAAATGTACACATTATAGAACACTTGGATGGGAGTTAAGTAAGTAGGGGATGGTTGAAAGCACATTTGATTCCCCTACTTACTCCCATTATCTTTATTCAGTTAATATATGTACATAAAGCTTTAAGTATTCTATCAGCCAAGAGGGGGGAGAAGAGCTTTTGATCTTTATTAAAACAATCCACAAGCAGCAAATATATTTTGCTTAAATGAAGTATCTTGGGTCTAGAAAATTTGTCTTAAGATGCTTTAAGACACCAATATAAATTAATTCATTTCAACTTTCCTCTTTTAAAATGAATGCTAGCGGTTTCTTATAGTAACAGTTGTTTACAAGCCAACTTATACTCCTGTGTTTAAATTTCATTTTTAAATTACTGTAGTGTCCAACTGACTTTTGGATATTATTCAAGAAATCGTTGAAGTTTTTTAGTTATCAGCAGGGTCAAGTATAAAGGTATGGGAGGCTTTTTTTGCAGTTTCCTAGAAACTTAGTGATAATTTTTTTTCTGTCAGAATGGCTTGCGTTTTCTCCTCTTCAGTGGAGTTCAAGCCAGAACTATTTATATAATATTATTATAGTTGTATTTATTTACTAGGCAGGCAGTCCTTCAACCTAAGCTATGCAAGGCTTTATCAACCAAACTGAGCACCTTGAATTGGCCTTGGAAAACAGCTGGCAGCTGATGTAGCTTTCTGCATAAGGGTAGAGGTAGGACTTACCACCCATGCCACCACATTCTGAGCCAGCAAGGTTTCTGGACAATCTTCAAAGACTACTCCACAAAGAGTACATTCAAGTAACACAACCTTAAGGTTATCAGAGCATATATCATTAAAATTAAATTGTCTTCCTCTTAAGAATTCCCTGAGCTGCATCATCACTGCCTTCTCCTTAAGTTTTAAGATTCTTTCCTCAAGAAAAGTATGCTGAAAGGAGATCTGTGAGTTTCAAAAAGTACTTCAATTGTGGATAGGTAGATTTAGTAATGAAACCATGCTAATTTGACAGGATATGGCATAATTTTCTATAAATTTATTTTGGAGATAAATATTCTTGAAAATTTCACTGCCACCATTCCTA